TTTTTCATGCAATCTTTTAATGGACAATGAAGAAAGTTCTTAGAAGCTTGACACAAAATGAAGCAGGATTTCTTATAATAGTTTTTTTCAGTTATTTCATATTGTGATTCCATAAAGCCTTCTGAGATATCTCTAATACCCTGTTACTAAGGGTTCAAGATAATATATTGACTTTTAAATGCATTAGACAGAAATCTTTCTAAAATGCATTATGACTTTCTTAATCAGAACATATGCCACAGAATGCTCTTTTGATTTTTTTTTGAGTCTGTTCTTAGTTTTTCCAGTTACCTTCCCTGCTCAATGCTGTTAATAGCCTGAACTCACTTCTATCCCAAATCCCTCTTTTCTCTTCTAACATGAAGCTGCCAGTCTGCTTTGCTCTTTGCGAATGGGTCAATGAGCTCAGCTGAACTGTGCATAAACTAGAGAAAGTGAGACCACAGGCCCTGCTGGGAGGACAGCATAGGAGCTTCTAGGCCTGAACTTCTTCATCTTTTTTTTGGCCAATCAGAGGTCACTGTCATCTTGATGGCAACATGACTGTCTAGATTGTAGGGTGGCTACCTCAGTTCTAGGGAGGTGAGGTGGTACCATAGTTCTTAGGCACTGAGTCAGGTGTCATGAGTTCAGGAAGGAGGAAGAGTAAAGCCCACAAGCCCGGGGGCAGGGGCCCGCTCCACGAATCTCTGTGTCCCGGGGCCCAGCCCAGGGTCTGACAGAATGGAGGTGTTCCACTAATGTTTCTGAATGAACGAGGCCTCCTTTCCAAAGGTAGCTCTAGGCAGATGCTGAAGTTTCTGCCTTGCCTACAGTCATTCCCTCGGTTCAGGTTTCTCTCTCCTCTGGGAGGTCCTCCCTCCCCTTCAGATCAGGTTCATCTCCCTGGAGTACGTTGTAACTTACTTCATGCAGCTATTAGATGTAAAGAAATCAGAGTATTACTTCTATGAAAATATAAATTTTAAAAACCTTCTTTTAGAAACATTTTTACTTTTAGAAGAGGCTGCTTGTTAGTCAAAATTAAACTCTAAATAGTAGAATTAAGGTGATATAAAAAAATGGAATGGTTCATACATTTCTGGTATAAAATCTGTCTGGAAAGCAATTTGGAAACACGGATCCAGGGCCTTAAAACGTTTATACTCTTTGGTCCAGTAATTCCATTTTTAAGAACGAGTCCAAGAAAAATAGTCTTTTTACACAAAGCTTCGTGTTAAAGAGTACTGTTGTGTTCTATACCCCTGAAGGATGAGTGAGTGGCAGCTCCACCTCTGCTGGGAAGGCTGCAGGAAACAACCCCTGGCTCTGCGGGGAGTAAGTCAGAGAGCTGGGGAGTCAGACAGACCTTCTCTTTCCAGCCAGTGAATATCCCAGTGAGTTATTTGAGCCCCAGGAATATTATCTTTGGTCTATTTCATTTTCTATCCAAATTTGAAAAAAAAAAGTACAGTCTGTTTAGATAGGTGGAGGAAAAACAGGAAAAAGTAAACAGAAAATTTTCCTATCCTGTTCTCAGCCTGGTCTAAAGAAAAACTTTTTTTTTTGCAGGAGAAAAGTCTCCCAGACACAGAATGAGCCCCAGAACTCTAGGTATTAAGAAGGCCTTGTTACATAATTTTTTAACGGATCCTCTTTTACAGATGGTGTCAGAGACGGTGACACAGCCACAATGGCTATTAAATGAATTACTTATTAAATGAATTACTTTAAAGATATACACAACTAGGGTTGTGGGCCTTATTGTAAAATTTCATTAAAATTCTTAATTGCTTACAGTTATACTTCTTCTTGAGTCAGGGTGATTTGGTCTAGATCTGCAACTGGCCTTCTTCGCATGGCTGTCTTAGGACATCCCCAGGAACTCCGCTCTCAGGGAACTCAGCAAGTTCAAACTCATAATAATGCACTTTCCTCTTCTTTTTTTTTTTTTTTTTTGTGAGGAGGACTAGCCCTGAGCTAACATCTGATGCCAATCCTCCCCCTTTTTTCTTGAGGAAGATTGGCCCTGAGCTAACATCCGTGCCCATCTTCCTCCACTTTATATGGGACACCGCCACAGCACGGCTTGACAAGCGGTGCGTTGGTGCGCGCCTGGGATCTGAACCTGCGAACCCTGGGCCACTGCAGTGGAGCGCGTGCACTTAACCGCTTGTGCCACGGGGCCGGCCCCTTCTTTTCTGTTTTAACAACACATTCTTTATAATTTCCATTACTTAAATTGTTTTCCTGACCAATTCCCCTCTACAACTTCCTTATGGAGGAAGACATAATTCTCCTTCTTTCATAGTGTTTATCATAATTTGTAAATATGTAACTATTTGTGTGTCTATTTAAGGCCTGTCTCTCTTCCTAGACCATGAGCTCCGTGACAGCCGGGTGACATCTGCTCAGCACTCTATACCCACAGCATAGCACACCACAAGCACTTATCAACAGGGCCCAATAAATAGATAGATAAATAAATTCGCTTTTGAAAAAAATGATAGGCATTCATAACAATGTGGACATTTGATCTCCCTGCACAATGTTCCTTTAGGTCAGTAGAAGGTTTTGTAATAGTTCAAAGAGTATAAGTGACAGTGACTTAAACCTTAGACTAAATGCATGTAAACACAAGTTAGACTTGCTGTCACCTATGAAATCCTACCCTTCTGGGACACAGACTTTTTGTTTTGAACTTTGGAACAGGGTTAACTCTTGCTAAGAAGAACATGAAAGATTTTGCTAAAGTAGAAAGCCAGAACAAACCACCCCATCACCCCTCAAGAGCAGCAAACTAAAAATATCCAAAGCAAACCTTTCCAGGAACTGTAGGAAATATGAGTAATAAGGTATAAGTTCAGTTAATGTACCAAAACTCAGTTAATGGCATTTTTCTCATTGATCTCTAAAAAACAAAAAAGAGGTATAATTTTTATTCTGTATGCTTTCTTTATTGTTACAGATTGATCAAATCTTTTTTTTCTAATAAGCTATTCATTATATTTTTTCTTGCTTTCTAAATCTTGTCTCACTGTTGGAATGAATCAGAATGAGGGAGAAACAAATAGAACAAACCAAAGTTATGGAGAAAGTATGTGTGTGAACTTTATTTCATCATGAGAAAATCACTTCTGTGCAGTAACAGAGAATACTGGTATCTACACGATGATAGGGCTTTCTTTGTATTTAGGTACATACCTTATATTTGTACACAATATATAAAATTCATGGAGGAAATTAATTCTACAGTACAGTTTCTTTGCTGGAAGAGGACTTGTTCCATTAGTTTCTTTAGGAAACGACCCCCAGTTCTGTGACTGTGGTACCAAGGATCGCAGTTCCAATCCTGTAATTTATTAGACACCATAATCTTATGAACATTAAGAGAAACTGAGAAACTACATCCTCCTGCAGGATGAAAAGAGAGACATCAGTGCTCAGGCTGCTATGCTAACAACTGATTTTAGCAGAATAGTATGATTTCCATGATGTATTATGAATAGAAATAGTTTTCCGGTAGGTCTGATGACACTTATTAGCAATGTTTCTGCAAACTGTCTCCCTGCTCTGATGGCATGTGCTTCTCTCTTCAATCAAACCGCCCTGTACACACACGGGAAACAAGGCCACCACTGTGAGGGGTCTTCTGTACTGCGTCTAGGAAACCCTTGGAGGGCTTCAGCATTTTAGCATGGTACTTTGCGAAAAGAGGCAACTGCTCTCAAGCTGATAGGTCATCCCAGAGAGAAGCTGCTAAAATGATCATTTGGGGGAGGCTCTCGCTACAGCATCCCTGTAACCCAGATGGGAACAAGTCATGTGGGCATTTTCCCTTCAACAAATCCTTCTCTTTGAATAGCATCCCTCAGGATTTACAGCTGCTCCCCAAGCAGGGTTTTCACGGCTAGGGGCCCATCAACTTTGCTGTGGGATTTGAAGTTGTGCTTGTTTTTAACCATGTGAACCATTTTAGGAGTGATTGGCACATGCTGAGGTTTGTGGGAAGTAAGAACAAACACCACCACAGTTCTTTTCCTGAATTTGAACAAAATCAACACAATTAGTTCTGCAGAGGGAAGTTATGGAGGATGCTGGTGGGGTGGGGGTGACTTCTATGATTAAAATGACCTAGAAGGTCTGAAAATGCTTTGGCACCGACCAGAAATACCCCTTAATAGGTTTAATTTCATGTGTTGCAATTGCTTTTAAAACGAAAATGTTCACGCCTCAGAGGTTATACCTGGCCATCAAACTCAAGCCTCTCTTCTGAGAGATGGCTTGCCTTTGATGACCAAAATATTTACAGTATAGCCAAGAAGCGAGCGTTCTCTAGAGAATGACCTTGTATGGTGGGCCCCAGCAGCCCAACCACGCCTAGAGGGGCTGGCAAAGGTGGAAGGCGAGGCCGTGCGGAGCTGCTGATCTCTTTCTGTCTGAGCCCACAGGAAGCCCCAGTCCTGTGCCACCGGCCTCAGCCTTGGGTGTGAAATGACAGCGGTCTGCGCTGGAGGGACAGGCTCCTCTGAACAGCTCTAGGACCCCACACCCACCGGAAACACGTTCGGGCAGACAAATCCACAGCTGGAAAGAACCCAGGCCCACCCTCAGAAACAAGCAAGCACTACAAGGCAATTGAAAACCACTGGGGCAAACTGGCAAATGATGTGTGTCGTGGAGAATGGGAGCCTGCCCTAGAGCCTAGATACACACGTCCCACACGGGGCACATTCAGGCCTTCATGTTTCAGCTTCTTCAACTGCAGCTCATTTAGAGTGTTACAAAGGAAGCCGACAGCCCAAGCCATGTGAACTGCCGCTGTGGACTCTTTGGTTTGGTCACTCCACAGACCACCACAGGCTCTCTAAAGCAGGAGGAACAGCAGCTCTGTGCCAGAACACAGAGCGAGTCATGGAAACACTTGAGAATGTGGGCAGTGGTGGGGTTACCTCCGGGCTGGCAGCCACGTTAGACGCCTCGCAGCTCTCGCTCTGAGGGGTACTGCTGAAGGGCCTTACCCTCGGACGTTTGCAGGACCAGGGTCTTGCTGTACTGGCTGACGCCCGTTTTGTTGAAGGCCTTGATACGAGCGTTGTATGTGCTGTTGAAGTGCAGACCGTCCACGGTGCACATGGTCTCCTTCCCAACATATACCTCCTGAGGGTCAACAAACAACAGGCCATCGTTTGACTCAAACCTTGTGAGGGCTCATGAGGGAGGCACTGTGGCAGAGTGGTTAGGAGCAAGCGCTCTGGTGTCAGCCTGATCCGGACTCGAATCCTGCAAGATACTGGGCCATCTGATTGACCTCTTCTAGCCTCAGTTTCCTTATCTGTAAGATGGGGACAATGATACCTACCTTCTGAGGCTGGTGTGAGGGTTACATAAGGTCATATGTGCAAACTGACCAGCAGAGGGCCACCCCTTCAGCATGGGCCTGCAGCTCAATGAGTGGGAGTTATTAGCAGCTAGGGCTTAAAAAATGAAAATTGGGTGTTTAGCATTATGCTTACTGTTCTTAACTTATAATTTGTAGAGTATGTCACACCCACTCAGCTCCTTATCCATCAGTAGGATTTGTGAAAAACAGGTTTGAAAACATGAGGGTGGTCTCTGTACTGTGTTTGTAACTCCATTGACAACTTCAGGAACTGCCACACAGACCACACTCACAGCCACAGGAGTGTAGGGTTTCATCAAGTACAGAGGGAGGGGGAGGAGGCAGGGAGGGGAGGAAGAACGACATTTCAAAGGCTTAAAATAAATCCTAGCATAACGCGTCTTCAGCACAGGTTACGCATTTGCCTCCCTCTTTAGCCGCATACTTTACAATATTATGCTGATGTAATGGGTAAAAATAATTTGCATTCAAAGCACAGCCTTAAAACGACACCTCAGGAGATTGGGTCTGGGATTGCAGCGTGCTAAGAATTTTATATGGACGATCTAACAGACTCCTAACAACAATGCATGCGGTACATGTTATTATTATCATCCCCATTTTACAAATGAGGACCCGCAGGCTCAGAGGTGAGAACAGGCACACCACACAGCTGAGGGGGGATCCGGATCTGAATGCAGGCAGTCTGACTCCAGAGCTGGCAGTACTGCACGCGCCTCCTCTTAGAAGGGCAGGACAGTTTCTACTCAGACTCCTTCATCCATCTCTGATGGTACAAGGAGAAAGCAGGTGTTAGGTGAAGGGCAGGCAGGCCCTGCTGGGAGGGTCTGTCCCCAGAGGGGCGGGGAAGCTGGTGGGTCCTCTGAGGGTGTCGCTGGTTCCGGTTAACTAGTAGTAGATTCTCCACTTACCCGGAACTGACCCCCACTGCCGTCATCCAGCTCCAGAATGTATCCTTCGGCGGGCACCGTGGACAGAGGTGGCTGTTTCCAGGACAGCGTGGCGCTGCTGTTGTGGGTGCAACACTCCTCCAGCTGTAGGATGGGGGTTGCTGGGACTGGAGGGGAAGCTAAACAGAAATTAGTGTAACCCTGCTTCTGCTGAATTGCAAACATTTCAGTAACTTGGAATAATAAACAGCCCCCTCATAAACACGTGGTGAGAGTAAGTAGCTAGCCCGGGGTGCATGGGGGACCTAACAGGATCCCTCCCAGAGCCTCCAGGAATTGAACTGGTTCCTGAGCTACTGCGGGGCCTCTTTACAAGCTCGTGGTGGCATTTCCTGCCTTATTGAGGGGAGACAACTGCTCTGTTCTCACCTCCCTGAGCATCAAAGACATCATCCCTGAGGGAAATGTTTCACATGGGGGATGGATTTCCAGTCCAGCCCACTAAAGTCTATTTAACCTATAACATGATGATAAATTTATCATAAAATTTATTCTGAGCCTTAAACCCCAGTTTATAAACTTGAAACTGCCTATTCTGAGAAATAGCTCTGAAACCACTATATTTCTAAGGTTCTATCATTTTTTTAACTAGTGATTCTACTCTAGGTCTTGTGCACATAAGTAGCTCTAACAGTAGATTTCTGAATATTTGGTTCCAAGTGACATCAACAGTGATTTCTCAGTTTTGAAACTTCTGAGGAACTTGATACCATTCTTGCAAGGTAGCTATACACCTGAAAACAGCATCAGCTCAAGTACACTCCCTCTGCAGGTATGGAACAGTCAGCTGAGCCTGAGAGCAGTATGGGAGCAGAAAGGGCCTGGCAGGGGAGGGTCCAGGTGCCCTCAGGACCTCGTGAGAATCTGTCACGGTGTCACAACACCTCCCTGCTCGCCATTTTGAGCTGAAAGTCTTTTGCATTACTTAAAACTGCCAATTCGTTAAGTCTTCAGACACACAGACAGAAAAGTTAAGTAATGAATAATCCTGGTTCCTAACATATATGAACTCAGTACATGTATCTGAGAACAGTGTTTTACCAATTGCTTAAAATATTTTTTCAGCACCAACACATTATTTTTGTAGCACTTTAACCACAGGAGAGAATAACTAGACCACAGCCAGGGACATTTAGATGAACAAATGTTAACTGTGGCACACCTGGTATGCTGTACCAAAATTGGACTCTGAGTGTCGTGCACTGAATTAAATCTGCTCCTTGCCAGTCACCCCAACCAAGAGGATGGGTAACTTCACATCAGTTTAGGGAACAGGTTCTATGGTAGATGGCCCAGAAAACAAACCCAGGGACTACAAGATGGGTGATGGGAAGGGGAAGCAGGTCTATTGTCTTAAGACAATTACACTTAAGAAAAGACTGTGTACATTACAAGAAAACCATGCCTGAGTTACTAGACCAAATATAATTAAATAAAAATTAATAGCCAGTTAATTGGAGGCGACAGTTTAGGAAGGGAAATCACGTTTCAGGTTTCAACGGCATAGAGTTCAGGTGGAATCTTATCAGAGAACAATGGCTTCTGCAGCCTCACAGGTCCTAGAGCATCTGGATTTGGAGGAAAGGAGATCAATTTATTGCCTTGTTCAATAAATAGTAGACTAAGGACTGGATGGAAAGAGGAAGAGACAGAAGACATAACTCCTTCTAGTGATTGTCTACACATAAACAGGCACCGCCTAGGAGTTATAAGTGGAGGGTTAACTCTAGGTCATTTTATGTGTTAGGAACTGACTTTGTCAATTAAGTTTCCTTCCTTATATAAAGAATACATTTTAGCGTGTCATGGCAGAGTGAGCTTCCCCCATTGAACTCTCCCCCTCTAAGAAACAACAAAAAGGACATTCATAGTCCAATAGACGCTATTCACACAATGCAGGGGACGTCTGAGGCACCTAGGCAGCCGTACACCCGAGGACTGAGGTGCTGGAATCCCCAGAGTAAGTGGAAGGAGGTAAGAGGAGCTCCCTCCCTTCCCCAAGCACTGTGACCCAGAGACTGAGACCACGTGGCTCTCAGAGGAGGGGGAGGGGCAGCTCGCTGTGTGAAAACTGGCGCTCTCCAAGACCCCTCACAGCCTGTGGGGATCCTCCTACAGAGGGAGCGGAACTATTGCGAGGGTAGTTTCAACTAGCTAGCCCCTCAGGAGAGCAGAGAGTGACCCTACGAAGCGAGAAACCTCTGAGATCGGGGAGGCGAAAGTAAGCGCCCCTCCCCAACCCGGCCCACCTGACCAGTGCTTCAGCTCAGCCCCATCCCCAGAGGCAGCGGCCCCCAGGTTCCTGGGCCCAACCAGCAGAGGGATGAGCCTGTGTCCCCACACCAGAGGCAGCGGCAGCTCAGGCCCCACCACGCCACAGTCCCGGCTGCTCCAGATGGACCAAGCCACGGCCACAGCTTCCCCGGCTTCCACGTGCCACAGCCCCAGCTCCTTCGGCTTGACCATCCCCTCCCCCCGGCTCCAGCTGCTTCGGCTTGGCCTGTGCTCAGGCTCCAGCGGACCTGGCGCCAGCAACTTTGGCCCAGCGCACTCCAGTTCCAGCTTCTTTGGTCCAGTGGCGCTCCAGCTCCTCCTGCTTTGGTCCAGCGGCGCTCCAGCTCCTCCTTCTTTGGTCCAGCAGCGCTCCAGCTTCTCCTTCTTTGGCACACTGCACTCTAGTTCCAGCTTCTTCAGCCCAGCGGCACTTCAGCTGCAGCTGCTTCAACCCACCCGCACCTGAGCCCCAGCTGCTTCGGCCTAGCTGTGCTCCAGTCCCAGCTGTTCCCATGCTTGCCCCCAGCAGCCTCCACTCGGCCACGCCTCAGATCAGCCAGGGGCCCATGAGAGTGCCCGAGGATTGAGGCAGGCCAGAATACACAGCCCTTGACCCCCACCCAGCAGCAGCAAGAAGAAACTGCAACCACATATTTTCACTATGAGGAAAAGTAAGCCAACACCAACAGACACTATGCAAAAATATAGTAAATCTCCAGACCAAAAGGAAAATGACAAGCACCCAGAAGTCAACCCGGAAAGCACAGAAATATACAACCTTAATGACAGAGAATTCAAAATAGCCATCATAAAAAAGCTTAATGAACTACAAGAAAACACAGACAGACAATTCAATAAAATCAGGAGTTTCTTCACAAAAGAGACTGAAACTATAAAAAAAAAAACCGGGCCAGCCCCATGGCTTAGCGGTTAAGTGCACATGCTCTGCTACTGGTGGCCCAGGTTCAGATCCCGGGCGTGCACCAACACATTGCTTCTCTGGCCATGCTGAGGCCACGTCCCACATACAGCAACTAGAAGGATGTGCAACTATGACATACAATTATCTATTGGGGCCTTGGGGGAAAAAAAAGGGGAAGGATTGGCAATAGATGTTAACTCAGAGCCGGTCTTCCTCAGCAAAAAGAGGAGGATT